TGAAAATACAGCATATATATATATATATATATATATATATGTGTATGTATTCATATACATGACATGTATTTAAAGGAAATATATATCATATATGAAAATATATGTGACAAATAAAGTATTATATGTAATGTAATATATAAAATGGAATATTATTCAGCCATAAAGAGAAAGAAATCCTGACACTTAAAATAACATGAATGGACCTTGAAGCCATAAAATGACATTTAAAAAAGACAAATGCATTATTATCTCACTTAACATGGAATTTAAAAACATCAAACTCAGACACAGAGGGTAGAATGGTGGTTGCCAGGGGCTGAGAAGCAGGAGATACAGAAAGATGTTGGCTAAGGGCTATAAACTTTCAGTTATAAGATAAGTTCCAGGACCTAAGGTCCAGCATAGTGACTATAGTTATCAGTACTGTATTGTATACATAAATCTTGCTATGAGAGTAGCGCTTTAATGTTCTCACCATAACAGCAACAAAATGGTAGTTATGTGAAGTGAAAGGTGTGTTAATTAACCTTATTGTGGTAAACACTACAGTATCTCAATAGAGCTGGGAAAAAATGGATAAAGGACTTGATATTTCATACCTTTTTAAATTACTTACTGAACTTGACAGATAAAACAAACTCTAAAACTTGCTTTCCTCTAATATTTTTCTTAGCATTATGATCTACTTACTGTCAAAATCCAAAGAAAAATTTGGGAGATAAAACTGATTGGTCTTTTCCTTGCATCTTGGTCAGCAAGTAATACATAAAAACACCTCAACATAATAAAGGCCATATATGACAAACCTACAGCCACCATCATTCTCAGTGGTGAAAAACTGAAAGCATTTCCTCTGAGATCAAGAACAAGACAAGGATGTTCACACTCGCCACTCCTATTCAACATAATATTGGAAGTCCAAGCCACTGCAATCAGATTAAAAAAAAAGAAAGAAACATAACCCAAATTGGAGAGGAAGAGGTAAAAATGTCACTGTTTGCAGATGACTTGATATTATGTATAGAAAGTTCTAAAAATGCCACCAAAAAAACTATTAGAACTAATAGATGAATTCAGTTAAGTTGCAGGATATAAAATTAACATACAGAATTCTATTGCATTTCTATACACTAACCATGAACTATCAGAAACAGAATTTTTTTAAATCCCATTTGCAGTTGTACCAAAGAGAATAAAATACCTAGGAATAAATCTAACTAAGGAAGTAAA